GATCAAGCAAGGTGCTATGAAAATGTAAGACAGGTCTGACCCACTTCCCAAAAAACGAGAAGTCTGCCTAGAGCCGAGATTCTCAAAGCGTGGTCTTCAGCAATGTCAGCATCACCTGGGAACTTGCTACATACTCTTGGACTTACTCAGACTTTCTAAAACAAAATCTGCAGGCAGAGTCCAGCAGTCTGTTTTGATCAGTTCTCTTGGTGATTTGGGTACACATTAAAGTTCAAGAATGAGTGGCCTAGAGGAAATAACATTTAAGATCAACTCCAAAACTGCAGTCTCCAGCACAGTGGCCACTGATCACATGCGCCTGTTGAGCTCTTAGAATGTGGCTAGTTGAAGCTGAGTATGCTTTAAGTGTGAAGTATACACCGAATTCCAAAGAGTTGCTATGAAAAAAGGAAGTTACAATATCTCAACAATTCTTATATGGATCACATGTTGTAATGATAGAATTTTGAATCTATAGAGTTAAGTAAAATATATATTATTAAACTTAATTTCTACTTTCATTTTTTCTACTTTTTAATGCAGTTTTTAGAAAATTTAAAACTATACATGTGGCTTATATTTGTGGTTGACAAATATATTTGTGACTGAGCACAGTTATAAATAAGAACTAGCAGCTAGCCAAAAGCAGGGCAGAATTGGTGTGGCAGTGGAAGGGAGTTCCACATAGGATATGGTATGCACAAAACTACTGAGGCAAAAAAGAACCTGGCATATTTAAAGAAATAAAAGAAAACTAAAGCTTTGCAGGATTAGGGATTTTGACATTTATCCTAAGACAAACAGAAAGACCCTGAGAATTTTAAATAAGATACTCAATTTTCTTGAAGCTGTCAACTAATAGATGAAGTGGACAAGGGAGCTAATTAAAGCTCCCCTTTCCCTAAGATAGTAGGATAGGGGCATTTAGTCAGGGGGTCTAAATAAGGAGAGGAGACCCTGCACTATGATGGGAAGCATGAACATTCCCGCTGGACAGAAAAGCAGTATCACCAAGAGGTGGTTTTTGGGTCAGGTCATTTGAAGTTCAAACCTGATTGGGAGCTTGATACCAGACCTTGTTCCTGGGCAAGACACCTATAAAGGTGGGTCAAAGAAAATGAAGGCTGGGGATTAGAGGCTCTGCCCTTAGAAAGCCTTGTTGGATGTTTCCAGTGAGGCTGGAAGCATGGGTCTGGCCATCCCTTGGGTCTTACAGGAATTTACCCTCTGCTTTAATCAGAGATTATAAACATGCAGACACAATGTAGACTTCAGACTTGTCTCTTGCAGCTCACATTTTAGAAATGTGTTTATGTTAGTTGATAACATTTAAGTCAGACTTCACATGAAATGCACATTTCTGGCCAGTGTTATGGTATAGTGGGTAAAGCCACTTTCTGCAATACTGGCATCCCACATGGGAATCCCAGCTGTTCTCCTTCTGATCCAACCCCTTGTTAATGGCCTTGAAAAAGCAGCAGAAGATGGCTCAAGTCTTGGGCCCCTGCCACTTACATGGGAGAACTGGGTGAAACTCCAGGATCTATGGCTTTGACATGACCCAGCACTTGCTGCTGTGACCAAAAGGTTAGTGAACCAGCATATGTAGATCTGTTTCTCTGCCCCCTTTCCTCTTTAACTCTCAAAATCACCTAAATCTTTTTTAAAAGATTTGTTATTATTTTTTAAAGATTTTTTTTTAATTGGAAAGAGTGGAGGAGAGATAGAATGGAAGATATTCTGTCCACTGATTCATTCCCCAAGTGACCGCAACAGTGGGATCTGCGCCAGTCCAAAGCCAGGAGCTAGGAGCATCTTCTGGGTCTCCCACATGGGTGCAGATTCCCAAGGCTTTGGGCTGTCCTCGACTGCTTTCCTAGGCCACAAGCAGGGAGCTAGATGGGAAGTGGGGCTGCCGGAATTAGGACTGGCACCTGTATGGGATCCTGGTGAGTGCAAAGCGAGGACTTTAGCTGCTAGGCTATCATGCCGGGCCCTTATTATTATTTTTTAATATTATTGTAGAGGCAGATTTACAAAGAGAAAGAGAAACAGAAAGATCTTCCATCTGTTGTTCAGTCCCAAGCTGGCTGCAATGGCTAGAACTGAGCCAATCTGAAGCTAGGAGCTAGGAGCTTCCTCTGGGTCTACCATGTGGGTTCAGGATCCTAAGCCTATGGGCCATCCTCTACTGCTTTCCCAGGCCATAAGCAGGGAGCTGGATGGGAAAGGGAACAACTGGAACATGTACCAGCACCCATATGGGAGCCCAGTGCATGCAAGGACAGGAATTATCTGCTGAGCCATCACTCCAGGCTCCAAATTGACTAAATTTTAAAAGAAATGCACATTTCTACTTTGTTTTTTAATTGGAATGTCTAGGAATCTGTTGCTCAGTCTAACAGGGAAATGGACTATGGTAGCTTGTACTCCTTCTGTGTATGAATCTTTAAGAGCTGAGGTAACTTTCAGTTTTTATTTATTAAAATATATATGTATATATGTTTAATAAACACACACACACACACACACACACATATATATATATATATATATATTTGAAAGATGGAGAAGGAGAGAGAAGAGATCGTCAGTCTACTGGTTCACTCCACAAATGACTGCACTATCCAGGGCTGGACTAGGCCAAAGTCAAAGCCAGGAACTTCATCCTAGTTGGTCACGAGGGTGGCTGGGACACGGGTCCCTAGGCCATTTTCCTCTGCCTTCCCAGAAACATTATCAGGGAACTGGATCAAAGTGATATATTCTTTTTTTTTTTTTTAAAGATTTATTTTTATTATATTTTATTGGAAAGGCGGATATACAGAGAGGAGAGACAGAGAGGAAGATCCTCCGTCCGATGGTTCACTCCCCAAGTGAGCGCAACGGGCCGATGCTATGCCGATCCGAAGCCAGGAGCCTCTTCCGGGTCTCCCACGCGGGTGCAGGGTCCCAAAGCTTTGGGCTGCCCTCTGCTGCTTTCCCAGGCCACAGGCAGGGAGCTGGAAGGGAAGCGGGGCTGCCAGGATTAGAACCGGCGCCCATATGGGATCCCGGGCGTGCAAGGCGAGGACCTTTAACCACTTGCGCCACCGCGCCGGGCCCAAAGTGATATATTCTTATAGCTTTTTGGTTATAATACTATTCATCTGCTATAGTATATGAGTTTATACAAAACAATTAGTTTTACTTTTAAGTATATAATGAGAACAGATGTAGCAGATCGAAATAGTGTGAAGCTTGGTGGTGGAAGCCTGAATGTTCATGATGTTATTGCCACTCGTTTTCGCTTTGATATAGTTCATACACAAAAGAAACTTATGGAATACTTTTGTCTACAAAATTTTATCTATGTTACCTTTCTTCCTTTGAAAGAAAAATAGCTTCATTTGTTTATGAAGGCTTCTCAAAAAAACTAGGATTCCACGTGGTATAGGGACAGTGATAGCTTGCTTCTCTTTCTGCATCTTCCTTCTCCACTTAATAATACAAAACAAACAAACAAAAAAGCATGGTTATGAAGAGTTGATGGGCCTGAAGCTTCTACCACATGATGGATTATGACTTATAAAAAGTTGACTTGTTTGATAGAGGGAGGCAGGGAGAGCACTTGGATCTGCTGCTGCACTGCTCAGATGCCTGTAATGACCATGATGGAACCAAGTCTCAAGCCAAGTCTTTTCTGTGAATGGCAGAGAAGCCAATTATTTGAGCTGTCATTATGGCCTTCCTGGGACTGCATCAGCAGGAAGTTAGCCTTTAGTAATGAGCAAGGATAGCGTCTCAGCCTGTGGCTAAGATCAAGTGTGGGAATTACCAAGAAAAGGCAGAAATAGTGTACACTGTCACTGTTATATAACTGTATGTGAACCAGTTCAATTGGGACAGAAAATCTCCCATTACTGCAAGTTGCCAGAATGGCAGAGTGCCAGGCCCCAGTGCTCCTTTATGTGTACTCCTGAGTGTGGAAAACAATGGGGTGTAGGTAGTGCATGCTGAACACATCAGCTGTGCAGTGTTTGTCACTAATGTGAGCTCTTTCAGAAGGGTGAAGGCAGGCTCACAAAGCCACATCTGCAGGAGACAGTGATGCCAACGTACTTTTGAAGGAGATGTTTAAACCCAGGGAATCCAGATCCCTTTAGGATTGCCTGTTTAACTTAACATTTTTCTCCTGCTCAGATGTGTCTCAGTGTGTAGGGCATCTGAAGAGGCAGGGCCTCCTTATCAGTGTAGTTCTTACTCCCACAGACCTGTTCCTGTTAATCAGTGTCTACAGGCATTTCTCAGCTGTTTGCATTTGATAGCTTGTTTTGCTTCAAGATTTATCCCTGCCATAGCCTGTATCTTGAGGCAAATGAGAGATTAATTAGGTGAATACCACATTTAAGTGTTAAAGATGCTTTAAATCACTTTGAGTGCTGTTTGGTTGTTGAAACAATGTGATACGTGTATACGTTGGATTTTTGTGTGTGTGTGTTGTGGACTATGATGTTGAAGAGCAAGTTACCACTCACCAGTCAGGGATATAAACCAGATATTTGTGGTGATTCATTGAATTACTGTGTTAAATAACTTGTGTAATAAGATGGTGAGACTGGTGGGTAATTCTTTTTCCACTAGGGGAAAAACAAAATAAGGAGGATACCTTCAGAACTGTCAGAATCTGGGAGTTTCCAGTGACCAATTGTTCTTTTAGACTTCTGTAACTCATTGTGAAATCTTCTCAAGTGTAAGCATAAATTTTTTATCTGGCAGAAACACAGCATGCCGTTAGGGTGACAATTAACGTACTGTCTAGGCATCAGAAAATTTAAGTCAATTACATTCCTTGCAGTTAATTGTTGAATGTGTTTATATTGACACAGGTTTATGTCTGACATCCAAACTGTTCAAGATAATTCTAATTTATTTTAGGAACTGCAGAAAGTTTTGCTTCTTCCTTTCCTGGAAGGCTAAAGGCTATAACTTCTACTTATGCATTTTTTTCCCTCTTCCAGATGTTTTGCTGTCCTTAACCATTCACCCATTTGAAAACACCAGGCAAGCTCAACCATCAGTATGTCCAAGTACAAACTTATTATGTTAAGACATGGAGAGGGTGCTTGGAATAAGGAGAACCGTTTTTGTAGCTGGGTGGATCAGAAACTTAACGATGAAGGAATGGAGGAAGCTCGAAATTGTGGGAAGCAACTCAAAGCTCTAAACTTTGAGTTTGATCTAGTATTCACATCTGTTCTTAATCGGTCCATTCACACAGCTTGGCTGATCTTGGAAGAGCTAGGGCAGGAATGGGTGCCTGTGGAAAGCTCTTGGCGTCTCAATGAGCGTCACTATGGGGCCTTAATTGGGCTCAACAGGGAGAAGATGGCTTTGAATCATGGTGAGGAGCAAGTGAAGATCTGGAGAAGAAGCTACAATGTGACCCCGCCTGCCATTGAGGAGTCACATCCCTACTACCATGAGATCTATAATGACCGAAGATACAAAGTGTGTGACGTTCCCTTGGATCAGCTGCCACGGTCTGAAAGCCTGAAGGATGTTCTGGAGAGACTGCTTCCCTACTGGAATGAGAGGATTGCTCCTGAAGTTTTAAGTGGCAAAACTGTTCTGATATCTGCTCATGGAAATAGCAGCAGGGCACTCCTGAAACATCTTGAAGGTACCAGCTTTACGTCCTAGTCATTAGAGGTTGCTAAGTGTTCTCATGGTACCTTAATCTAGAAATTAAACCAATAATGTACCGTTTGCACATTATTTCCTTCTCTGTACTTTTGTCACTGCAGACTGAACAACTTTGTTCTGTAAATCAAGACTCCTGGTCTTACATTCATTTTTTTTTTTTTAAAGATTTATTTTATTTTTATTGGAAAGGTGGATATATAGAGAGGAAGATCTTCCGTCCAATGGTTCACTCCCCAGGCGGCCGCAATGGCTGGAGCTGAGCCAATCCAAAGCCAGGAGCCTCTTCTGGGTCACCCACGCGAGTGCAGGGTCCCAAGGCTTTGGGCCGTCCTCGACTGCTTTCCCGAGCCACAGGCAGGGAGTTGGATGGGAAGTGGGGCTGCCGGGATTAGAACCGGTGCCCATATGGGATCCCGGGCGTGCAAGGCAAGGACCTTAACCACTGTGCCATCGCGCCGGGCCCATATTCATCTTTTTTTTCTCTCTCTCTCTTTTTTAATCTGAAAGAGTGGTTTTCAAACAGTGCCACCTGCATGGGCTCAGGCTTACAAAGACTGTTAGGCCCATGTATACCTAGATAGGTTCAGGCTTACACAGACTGCTAGGCCCACATGTGCTTGGATGGGCTCAGACTTAGCAGACTGCTAGACCCACGTGTTAGGTTTCTGAATCAGTAGTTGTTGGGTACAACATCAGAATCCGTATGTTGTTATATTTAGTTGATATAAATATTTTATGTTTATTTGAAAGGCAGAGTTAGAGGGAGAAGTGCAGAGAGAAAATTTTCCAAATCTGATCACTCCCCAAATAGCCACAATGAAGCCAGGAACCTGGACTGCATATAGTTCTCCCACAAAGTGACAGGGGCTCAGGTGCTGTCTTGGCACTGCCTTACCAGGGACATAATATAGAGCTGAGTGGGAAGCAGAGCAACCAGGACCAGAATGGACATCCATATGGGATGCCAGCAATGCAGGTGATGGGTTATAATGCTGGTCCATGAGAATTTGCATTTTTTGAAAATTTGGGGTAAAAATGCTTATGCTTGTATATTCATCTGACTCCTAGTCAGGCTTTCTGTATAGGTTTACATAGCAATTATTGCTTATTAAATAGTCTCTTTCATGGAAGTGTGGGCATTTTTCCCTCATATTCTCTGCAAATTGCTGTACAAATTTAGTGTTTAGCCTGCTACTGCAGGAGTATGGTAACTGATTGGATCAATGATAGCATACATCTCTATAATAAACACTGTTTCTGATTTAGAAAGTTTAGCATTGGGGTGGGAAGAATGATGACTGCAGTGAATTAGAATACCTGGAATCTCAGTGATTGGATTATTGCACACATCAACAGTAGAAAGAGGTGGTTCTTTAAGTGTTTTGTTGTTCCTTTGGGAGGGATTTGGCATTACCCTCAAGACAGTTATACCTCAACTTGTCCACTTGTGGTAGATAAGTGTTGCTAGAGGAAAATGAAACTCAGATAGACCACTGAACATCTGCATCCCAACTCACTGAATCTCCACATGCAATTACTACCCAGATTTGTGTTAGAATTTTCTTCCTGAGAAGTAGATATTTTCTTGACCTATTATGTGGGATACTGTGATCTGAACCAAAAGTATCTTTGGCCAGTAAGCCATAAAAAAATAATTTAATACACTAAATTACAGAGTCTAAAATTGTTAACTTCTGACATAATCTATGAATGGTGCTCCCTAGCAAAGCTACACAATGATTTTATTGTGTGTGCTTTGGGTCAAGCACAATTCTCTACATTTTACACCTGTATGTTGTATAACATCAGAGCTAGAATGTAGCCCCAAACTCTGGAAAAATAAAGGTTCGATATTGTGTTTTACTCAGCTAGTTAATATATTCAGGTCAAGTGTGTTTTTTTTAAAAGATATATTTATTTTTTATTGGGAAAGGCAGATTTATAGGGATAAGGAGAGACAGAGAGAAAGATCTTCAGTCTAGTGGTTCACTCCCCAAATGGTTGCAACATCTGCAGCTGAGGCCATCTGAAGCCAGGAGCTAGGAGCTGCTTCCAGGTCTCCCACACAGATGCAGGGTCTTAAAGCTTTGGGCCATGCTTTACTGCTTTCCCAGGCCATAAACAGAAGCTGAATGGGAAGTAGAGCAGCCAGGACATGAACTGGCACCCATATGCAATCCTAGTGCTTGCAGGGAAAGATTTAGCCAATTGAACCATGTGCCAATGGGGGCGGGAGGGGGACACCTCCTGCCCGCCCTCCCACCCCCGCCCCATCATGATCATGTTTTTAATTTCATTTAATTAGTCATTGATTCCTAAGCGGTTTTGCTTTAAGAGCTAGGTTTTGGAGAAAGGGGAAAAGGAGAAAACTATTGACACAGACAATGTAGTTGAATCTTAACTGCATTATGCTAAGTGGAAAAAAGCCTAAATGCAGAAAGATGTATTTTATAAAATTCCATTTATGGCATTTGGGAAAAAGTAAAACTTGTAGCCTAGAACACAGAGCAGCAGGGGAAGGGTAGATTACAAAGAAAAATGAGGGAATTTTAGGGGATGATAGAACTATTCTATATCCAGATTGATGTGATTACACAGTTGTGCTCAGCTGTCAAAACTCACAGACCTGTGCACCAAAAGTAAATTGTGTTATCCATAAATTATACCGAGAGAGAAAGGCAGGCAGAAATCACTCTTGCCCTAATTGGGAACTTGCCTGTTCCAGAAAATGGTAAGGTAAGTCAAATTGTCCTTCATTAGAAGCCCATGAAGGTTGCAACATACACCTTTCTGTGCCTTTGAAAACCAATGTAGACAGCATTTGTTAATGCTTCCTGAAATCTTAGAAACTATGTGGTGTTGGTTTTATTTAGCATCTAAACCATGGTTAATCATGGAATTACCTTTTTAAAAATTATTATTTGAAAGAGTATTAGAGGTCTTCCGTCGACTCACTCCCCAAGTGCCCATAAAAGCTTAGGTTAAGTTGGGTCAGGCCAGAGCTGGGAGTCAGGAACTGCTTCCATTTCCTATGTGTGGCAGAGATCCCAATGTTTGAGCCATCGTCTGCTGTTTCCCAGAGTGCACATTAGTAGAAAGCTGGATGGGAAAGAGTGCCATCCTGGAAACCAGGCACTTATAATTAGGAGGTTTGAGCAGCCACACCAGCTTATGGCTTTGGAGCACAGTGACTATCCCAAATTACCTTCCAGAGTTCTTCATCAGTAGTTATGTGTAAGCTGTTGGACTATGAAGTTTTGTTAGTCTCTTGCTAACGTAACCTAGAAGTTGTTTGAGGTCTTCTGATAAAGATTTTTCCTTCTCAGAACTCTTATCTCTGCTTATGGAGTGAGCCAACAGGACCTTCTGGAATCCATGCAAATGAATGGTATAGTGACATACAAGTGGTTAGGTGATATTCTGTAAAAGGATTGTGACACCTTCTCTGTTGGTGAGGATTCCTGTAGTAGCTCTGCTTATAAATTGTGTCAAGTTTTGAGGTTGCTTTACTTTTAATCTGATAGTTCTTAATGCTTTCAAAAGAAAATAGACATAAAATATTATATAGTAAGACAATTCCTCCTGAAGGGACTGCTTTACTGACTTCTAGAAACATAGTTACTGCACTATACTAATAAGCCCAGGTGCAAGTGGGGTCCCCCTCTGATTGGTTGAAGCACACTGTCCACAAAGCACTGCCATGAAAACTGCTAGCATAGCCTTAATACCCAAAAGCATCATGTTCTATAGAGTTCCAGACAGGCCTGTTTTTTTTTTCCCCCTCTGTAGTTGGAATAGTCACTTCCTGTTTGTTTCCTGATGGTCTGTAATGAAGGAAAAACCAGGTACCAAACTGCAGCTTTGGATGTAGTCTACATCTTTCTAGAGGAAGTGGATTGTTTAGTAGTCTGGGTTCAAGCACAGGACTAGGGAGTTTCAAGTTTGGAATGAGAATGGCATACAGGACACTCATGAAGGAAAACTTGAGCCCTGAAGAATTATGTGTAGCTACACACATGGCAAGACGAGGAAGCAGTGAGATAAAATTAGAGAGTCAGGGAGGAAAGGTGAGCCGGGCTTAGGGAGCAGGGCTGATGAGCTGGTCACCTTTGGCATTTTAATGTGATATTTTCAGAAGCAGCAAGTTCAGCTCTCTTTTCTGTTAGGCAGATAGTTGCTTATAGTGGTATAGGTAAGCTTTCTTTTATTGTAAGTATAGTTGATTTTCAAATCTTTATTTTAAAATATTACCGGCTGTTTGGCTATAAAATTAAATGTGGAGTTAATTCTTTGCTTTATTCTAAATTAGAGGCTGTTATTCCACCATTATACTATTATGAGTATATGAGGATACTATACAAAGTTTGTGGAAATTTAAAGATAAGCTTTTTTGAGTGCAAAAATTTTTAGATATCCATGCATATTAGGGGATATTCATCTCTTAATTCAAAGTTGTGAAGATTTTGCTCTGGGAGTCAGTACTCTAAGAATTGTATAGTTTTAGCTCTTCTACGTCTTTGATCTAGTTTCAGTTCAGTTTTATGTTTGCTATAAGAATCTTTTGCATGGAAACAAAGTTCTATTTGACTTCATTTATTGAAGACTTCTTTTTGCATTTAGTTGGCTTGGCACATTTGCAAAATCAATTGATCAAAATTTGAGGTTACATTTTAGATTATTAATTCAAGTCTATTTTTATGTTTCTGTCCTAATGTGTGTAGTATAAATCATATCTAAGTACTATACTCTCTTGTTTCCTGTAGCTTTGTGAGTTTTGAGATCAAGAATCAGGAGTCCCTAAATTTAATCCTCTTTTTGCAAGATTGTTCTGGCTATTCAGTGTGCCTTGAATTTCCATGTGACATAAGATAAGCCTGTCCATTTCTGTAAAAATTCCAAATAAAGTTTTAGTAGGAATTTTATTGAATTTATATACTACTTTGGGAAATAGTGCCATCTTGATAAACTTCCAAACTG